GCTCTCTACTTGGAAATAACTCTTTGCCACTTAGTTGAACAAAAATAATTGGAACAAAATGGTAGCGTGATAAAGTGACTTCGGGGCTAATAAACGATGTTGATTTAGGAAATGATTGCTTGACTGAGTCTCACTCCATGTTATTTTCCCTCAATGCGTCGACCCATTGAACATTTCCTTTGTGAAGGTTTGTCTTGAAGACTCTTTATGAAGGTGTGTTGTGCTGATCACAGGATTATTTATGGGGACACTCATTTTGATGAGGCATTTACTTAACATTTTCATTGCCTCTTTCCCCCCATCACCATCCCTGTGTACCCCTCCCCCTGTCTTCCCTCCTCCCTCCACATTCCCTCAGTGCCCTCAGGATGCCCAATGATGCCCACTGGTTATCATGGAATTGTCGTGTGGGGCATATCTCGAGCATTTGTGCTGATTGTTCTGACTTTGCCATACATAATTCTCTTCAACTTTGAAAAAATGCAAATTTCACTGGAAAGTAGCTAAACACCATTTTAAGCCTCACTCAGATAAGTTTTTAATTTTAGATTACTAGTCCAGTAGGCATCACCAGTTTTCTTCCAAACATCTGTCGTTGGCCCCTAGTCAAATCTTCTCACCTCAGCTGTACCTACTCCTGTTGATTTCTCTTCAGCGTTATAATGCTACTCATTTGTAACTGTCTAGAAGTTGACACTGATTTGCAGACATTTCCTAACCTGTGCACAACAGTTCATTCTCTGCACTGATCGTACTGAACAGAGAACTGTCTCTCCAAGTGTCTCTCCCGACTCTCCCACAGAAACCCGTGGCAGGCGCCTTTGCACCTCAGACGTGATTGAAAAGGAAGAGCAACGCTTTGTGGAATAGTGATGAAGAAAGGGGATGGGCCCCGCTGGGGTCTGTGGCTCTGCAGGTCTCTACCCCTGGTAGTGTTAGTCACTACCACAGACGTTGACTGATGAAAACCCCAGGTTTGAATCGTAAATGTCTACACGACTTTCTGGTTTTATAAGCTCCCTCACAATGGGTTTTTATGCAACCATTCTGCTGTCTCATAAAATAGGGACCTTACTGGAGGCTGATTTTCTAAGTCAGACAAAGTACCCTTTTTCATTCTTGTAGCCCTTTATGAAAAGTAAATTTGGCTCAGGCGCCCGACACGCATTTTAGCTATTGCAGAGAAATCCAACAGGCTGGTTTTCAAAGTGACTGGGACTCACAGTCATTGTAGTATTACTGAGAAATTTACATATCGACTTACATGGTTCATTTTTCATGTTAATAAGTGAGGTTGATCAGAAGTAAGAGACACTCTCCATGAGCGTTTTCTGAATGTCAGGTAGGCACCTGCTTCTGTTCTAGATTTATTGATACAAAGGTAGGATGGGCATACCTGCTTATCTTGCTTCATATTAGTACCCACTGCTGTTGAAGCCCTTGATTCATTAAAGAAAGAACAGACTCTCCTCAGCTCTTTCCACAAATATCTCAGCGACCATCCAGTAACTCATGACATGTTCTGAAACTTGCTGCTTTTATGGGTCCCAGCCAGCTCAATAAATCCCCAGTCTTGAGTGGGAGAAAAACAATCTTCAAGAGGCAAGAAGGGCGATTTAAAGAATCTCATGGTAAAATCCACACTACATTTCATAAATATGCCATATGCTTACTGTACATCACTATGTTGCCTTCAGTCTGTCCTTTATCTTTGATTATTAACCATGTGCCCCTTTTCAGTGGTAAAGCAACAACAAAATCAACTGTCTATAATTATGAAATGCAGAAAACTAAGAGTGGGAAAAACAGACCTTCAAAGGTAATTTAGTTCCACTCCCTCGTTTTGCAAATGTGGAAAATGGAACTGCAGAGGGATCCAAGCTCTTCACTCGGGGTTGGAGGTTCCAAGGCAAAGACCCCATGAGCCAGTTCCCCAGTCCAGACTCTTCCTCATCAGTGAATACCCTGAGTCAACTCAAATTTCCGTAATTCTGATAGCAGACGTTGACTTATAAAAATCAGAGTTGCCTTTAGGCATTTTAAAAAGGTATTTTGGTATGTATTAACTATTTTTATTGTATCCATCTAGATTTTTTTGATTCATGACCTCTGTCATTCTCTGGCACTGACTAGAACTATTTAAAACGTTCCCTTTAGTTTAAGATTTTTCTAAAACATTTTACTCCAGATAATATGAAGCTGAAAGCTACCATCCTTTCACAAATGAACTTTAATTTTAGCATAACCAGTTTCAAACCTAAAATATCATCATGGTAAGAATGATTCCAGTAGCTTTTTTTTTTTTTTTTAGTGCTTTTAGATGTGCCAGGCTCTTTCCATAGCTTTTCACAATTTGATTATTTAACCTAATGAAGTATGTGCATTTATTGCCACTTCTTGTTTTATATGTCAAAGGCTTCATGTCTGAAACAGCATAGATTTAAATAGATTGTCTGGGACCGTATAGCTGAGGTCAGGCACGCTCAGGTTTTGGGTCTTTATCTCATGCAGATGTTCACTGTCTTAACTAGTACAGAATTATAATACTGCTTAAATTTTGACTTGCAAAAAGTTCATTGATAATTTAGAAATTGGATACATTTTCACCCTTAAAGTATTACCAAGACAAATTTACTTGGTCTATAAAGTAACCTAAACAATAGTATTTAGCTATATGGCATTTTCATAAAAGTGTCTTGGAGACCAGAATACTTGTCCTTTTTATTATTAGATTTATTTGTTGATGCATACAATAACTGGGGTATAGGCCAGAGGTGTGGGAGGTGAGAGGATACATCAGAGACAGAGTGGGGAGCAGAACAGGTGGATCTACTGCAATCCACTGCTGAGGGGAGCAGCAGGGAGACAGGAGAGGTCTGCAGTGCCATGTGGGTCAGCTCCCTGGCAAGGATCAAACTCGCACTGCAGTGGCTGCGGACAGTTTCACAATGCTGTGATTTAACCCCTTGCATCACCAGGGAAAGCCCAGTGCTTCCATTTTAGTGAGGAAATTCTTGAGGAAGGAGTGTGTTGACACTGAAGGTTCTTTGGCTGCAGGTTCAGAAGCCAAGTATAGCCTGATACCCACATCACAGCCCTCCAGCTCAAGGAGCCTGGCCCGCCTCTGGCTTGAAGCAAGACACTGTGTCCTGCGCATGGCACAGCCACCCTACTAGTGAATAAGTTCCTGCCAGTCAGGCTGCCATCCTGACGCATCCCGCAGCTCCACCCTCCTAATTTAAGGTTCTGCTCGCTACCTTGAACCACAGGTAATCTCTCTCTCAGGTGCCTCAGTTCTGCCTCCCCCTAATGAATATCAGCTGAGATGAGGGGCCCACAGGGTATGGAGCCATTACCCCCAAACTCATTGTTTATCATCCTAAGTCTAGAATATCTAGCCCTTTTAGAATAATGCCTAGGTGGGCATTATTTTGGTCTTCAGATGAGAGATCTGGGTTTTAGGGGAACAGGATCCCACGTTCCAATGAGAGTTTACCTGTTCAGGTGGATTTTAGCATCCATCAGGTAACCAACTGTACATTGGATTATTATGGGATGTGCTCTGGAATGTAACTTCATGGAGGTATTTTTAAAACAAATCTGTTCATTTAAAAAGAATTCAAGGTTGAAACAATCTCTTCCATTTTGTGTGAGCTATTTTAACTTCTTTCATAAATTCATATATATAAGCCAATATATCTATTTGTACATAATACATATAGTGTATGTCACATGAGCATTAATGAAGATATAACATACCATTCATATCTAAGTAATAGAAATACAGATATTTGTTTTGCATTTTTCTATCGCAACACTTCCTTAGACAATTTGTCAGAAATCAATTGACTAATGAGTAACAAACACTCTGTTATAGGAGAGATAGGTAGAAAGATGAAAATGCTTATAAAGAGAGCATTTTTTGCTTTGGTAGAGAACTTTTTTGACTTTATTTTCTCTCTCAAAAAAGGCAAAAAAGCAAATGTTAATCTCTTGCCTTAATCTTAATGTTGATTTATTTATAAACCAAATTTGTAAGCCAAAATGTGGCATAGTGATTTAAGTGAGCATTTTGCCATAAATTCCCATTCCTCTGTGTTTTGGGGTGTGTTTGGAAGTTTGTTTTGTGACTGATTTTTATATCCTGTGTAATCAGAATTCTGTAAACTGCATAAGTAGACATTAGAATAAAAGGTTTTCTCTGGGCTTCTTCTAAAGAACCTCCTGGGTGCAAGCCAGCAGGACATAGTCACATTGGCTTGTCCCTCTGAGCAGCAGCATAATGCAGCCATTCGTGTGTAGACAGAAGGTCCTACTATGTGCAAGCTTTGCTACAAGATGTGCAGTAAGTTCTGGAGGGGCAGCCTGTACCTGTAGTAACCAGCAAACCCAGACCTGCCTCACAGCTTTCCTGGCGCTGTGTTGGAAGGGCACGAATTGGAAATGACTGAGCCTTTCAGCTGATCACAATCAAATCAGAGCACATCAAAACAGCTGGTGTTCTGTGACTCAGACTCAATCAGCCAGTTTTCAATCACCTTATACTTTATTCCCCTTTCCAGTTTCACAGAAGAGATTTAAACCAACATATGTCTTTCCCATTTGGAGAAATTCCTGCATGTGGTTGCTTTCCTTTCATAGCCGAACACCAACGAATGAGCCGGACTTTTGACTGTACTATTCAAAAAGAGATTAGCATTAAAATGAATTTCAAACTAATGTTGCTGCATTTGTGTTAAATAAACCACATGCTCCAATAAAGCACCATTGACGAAAGGCACAATTGGAAGGGTCTGTTATAGTATGGGGATAATTCTGCGGAATTAGGTACTTGACCAATACAGCAACAGCGATGATACATTTCTGTCTGAGTTTAAAATTAATATTTTAATGATTATGCAAATACTAATATCTTGGGAAATTGAAAATTAAGTCAGCAAGTGAAAGCTAAATGTTATGTGTTGGCTGCTGACATTAGCTTTTTGTGTTCTGGTAGGTACCGATTACACCATTCTTTGGCGAAGACTGTTCAGCACTGGTGACCTCTTCCAATCGGACACTCTACAAATTATTATCTCTGGACGTCCAGTGGACACCCTGCCGGAGGCAAGATCTACTGAGCCAGCTGGAACTGCGCCTTTTCTCTTGTCAAGGCTTTTTTCTTACAGAGGAAAGAGAAGGAAAAAAAAAGATGAAGTTGGGCAAGGTGGAGCTCTGCCATTTTCTGCAGCTGATTGCACTTTGCCTGTGCCTCTCTGGCATGAGCCAAGCCGAACTCCCCAGGTCCAGGTCAAAGCCCTACTTCCAGTCAGGGCGGTCCCGGACCAAGCGCAGCTGGGTGTGGAATCAGTTCTTCGTGCTGGAGGAGTACATGGGCTCAGATCCCCTCTACGTGGGAAAGGTAGGGCCTTTGACATTTCAAGGTCACAAACGGTAGTTGATGATGCCTGTGGGTGGGTGGAGAATTGCAACTTTTGCTCTGGGGTTGGACAGGAAATCGACCAATGATGGTTTGTGAAGTGTCTGGCCCTAGCCATTTTGATATGGTGACCTGGGATTATCCAGGAAAGTGAGGTCCTGTCTTGGAGGGAGGATTTCCTCTAGAAACAGGTGACTACGGAGCTATTGGTGTCTGTTCCACCCCAGAGAAATGCATCCGTGAAACTTATTTGCAGAATGGCAGCAGGAGTATTTGCTAAGAAATGAAGAATAGCAGGTTCTTTGAGCCAGTTGGTTCTTTGAGGTTCTTTGTGCAGGGTTGCTGTTTAAGAGGCCCACACTCACTCACGCCTGTCTGTCTTTTGAAACTTACCATTGAGAAAACTGCAAAGGGAATTGTCACGATTCTTGGCTAAGCATTGTGAGCAGTTCAGACCCACTTTTCTTACTGCTGGTCTTGTTTTGATCCCACCCATTTTTTTTTTTCCAATTGCTCTTTAAAGTACCTTTTGTTTAAATATGAATAGCACAGAAGTTAATTAGAAGTGATTATACAGGACTAGGGAGAGCCTTAGGGTCTTTGCTGGCCAAGTGGACAGTCCAGTCGAGATGTTTTTCATAGCTTCTCTGCCTGGGTTTGGGGCAGCGGGTTTCTATTCGGGAGCCTGGAGGATCAAGGGCTCATCTGGGCTGTGTGGTCTTGTCCTGTCTTCTCCCGGTCTCCTGTCTGCGTGTTGCAATTGTTTTCATCTTTGGGAAGACTCCTCGATTTTTCTGTCGGGCCTCAGTGCTGGGGCAGGCTTTCCACATGGGGTGGATTGGCAGGAAACCTGGATATCTCCATTTTTATTCAGTACTTTGCCATTTGTGTGCATCTGTTCCTGAGGAGATGAGACACAGCAAGCTGGAGAATTTTTTCTCCATGAGTGCAGTTTCTACTTTGAATGATTGAGGAAGAACTTTTGCTATTTGTTCTATGGGTAATTCACTTGGACACACTTGAAGGGTGAAAAATATTTTTTTGTTGATGGGTGTCTACATCAATCAAGGTGATCTTTGCTGTAGTTAGGATTTTGTTGTCATGCCTCTTCACTTCGTGGGTACTGACTGATACTCTATTGTAAACAGAAAGATTTGAATAAGTTCAAGGTTTCTTGGGATCTGGATTAGGCGTTTTTAGCTCAGTTATAGTTTTTCTGCCCAAGGAAAGGATTTGTAAGTACAAAAGTGTTTTAGTCTGGGTATTTTTTTTTTTTTTTGGTTATTTGTCATCCTTGTGTTCTTGTAAACAAAGTGAGAGAGGTAGCCATCAGGCAGTGCTATTGACTAAGAATCTAGCACTTACTTTCATTCATTTGTAATGAACGTTTTACAAATTCAAGCTTTTTTCAATGGACAGGTCTATAACAGTCCATGGATTCATAAATAATCCAGAGTAAGGTGAAATCATGCTTTTCTGAAAAATTGAGATTTTCTACAGACAACTAACATATTTCCATCAATTAGTTTTAAGTAGAATAAGCTGTATTGAATGGAACATGTATAAAATAGCTAAAATGCCCTTTCTAATTTTATAATCTTTATATAATCATTCAGATTTCTTATACCCAAATAATCCCTATGCATCAATTTAAAGTTAGGGAAATGTATGTCCCAAGAGTTATTAAAATTTAAATGCCTATGAAGCTACTGGCAAATGCTATAGTTACCTTTTCTGACAGAAATCGTGCAGAGTCTTGATTTGGTCACGAGAAGTATCCTTGCGTTCCTTCCAATTAATCAGAGATAATTGCTTAGCAGATTCAATGTGACAGGAAACATGTCGGTGTTTATGTCTCGCTATATCAGGACTTCATTCTAGCCAGTCACAGTGAAATGTTCAGGATGGAAATGGGTTAAAAACAACACTTCTTAATTGACTAAATTACAGATGTGAGGCAGTAATGTGAACAGACAGAGTATGCATGGACAGCAGCTACGAATGAAAGGTCCTACATGAGCAATTTGTGTACTTGCTTGGGAATAACACCTGCGAACTGGAAGGCTTGAGCTTGAGTGGAAGAGGGGCCGTGTGGTTCTTGGAGGGGCCGATGTCTGAGTAAGCGGAGGCATGAGAATAATTTGACCCCCAGCACACTGCTTGAGAGTGCAGATGAGATACATTTTTATTTTTTTAATTGAAGGAAATGATGGCTCAGAACTGAAATTTTTACAGGGCAGGAAGAACAAACTATAGATGAAGATGTACAATGGGGAAGTCGATCATCTTGGGCAGAAGAAAGGAACTTGTTCATTACTTTCCACAGATGTCTCTGTCCTCTAGTTGTTATGTGGCTAATCACTCTTAGTCTTCCTGACAGAATCTCATGATTTCAGTAATCTGAAACATGTGAATGATGACCTTGATATACTTGCTAGCTTAATTTGGATAAGTACAGCTAGTTCAGTTTTATTGCTGATTTTACCACTTCAGCTAATTCTGCTGCTGGAAGATGCTTTAACAGGCTTCCTCATCTTCAAAATGCAAAATGATACCTATAATGAAAGTCTTTTTCATAGTGTGAAACGAAATGATCAGAGTGTGAGATCAAAATATTTGGAACATGTATTTCATTGGTCTAGACATTGCCTTTATGTACTTCATATTCTAAATTAACCACTGAGTCATGGGTAATCTACTGAGTTTTGTGTCAGATGTGTTCAAGATACTTCAGATGAAAACATGCTTTATGTCCAAAGTAATCCTGAAACTTATTTCCATTAGTTGGAGGGGAGATGTGTGTGGGTTTGGTTAGTGATATGGCATGTCTTTTTGTATTTATGTATGACTGAATTATTGTGAAATTAGTTATCAGGCAAAGGATTCCATTCTTAAACACACTCTTAAAATGGCAAATAAATCGCTGCTGTAATATTTTTTTGATTTATGTATACATACAAAACTGAGGTACAGGCCAGAGGTGCAGGGGGTGAGAGGATTCACCAGGGACAGAATAGGGAGCAGAACAGACAGATATACTGAAATACACTTGCCTAGGGGAGCAGCGGGTGGGTCAGGAGAGGTCTGCTGTACCGTGTGTGTCAGCTCCCTGGCTGGGGATCGAACTCGTGCTGCAGTGGCTGCTGATAGCTTCACAGTGCTATGCTTTAAACCCTTGCACCACCAGGGAAGTCTCCTGTAATTTTTTCAGATCTTCAAATTTGGAGCCTGGATACTGACTGGTAGCCAACAAGGTCAGTAAATGAATATAAAGTCTGATCACTAAGATGGAGGACAATGACACAAGATATTCATGTTTATCATCTTTGCCAATTTAATAAGATAACCATAGACCACAGGACCACATACCATTCATTGAAGGGTGCCAGGAAGTAATTCCTGGAGCCTTTGGCCTCTGTTAGCACCTGCCAGTGTGACCTGCGTGTGAACCATGTGAGATGGTGAACGGCAACCTTAGGGCACAGACTTGGGGACAGTCACTGTGTTACTCAGATGGAATTGTGCGGAAAATGCGGTGCATCTTCTCCTGTTTTTCTTTGCTGCGACCTTGCCTGTTTTCTTGTCCTTTCACAAGAGAATGCAGTAGAGCACCCTTCCTCTCTAACTACCGCTCTCTATCACCCTGCACTGAGAATTGAAGTGTGTAGCAAGAAACAGTCTCCAGTCTTCCCATTGCATTGCTCTGCAGTTTGCTAGTTCAGTCTTTCCTTCATCTTGGCACATCTCACTTACTGTCTCCTAAGCATCTGACAAAAAAAATTTGTCTGGAAAGCCTCCGGGCCTCCGTTCCAGGTAGTGAGTGTTTACATCTCCCAGCCTACGGGCCGCTGGCTGTGCACTCTGCGCCATTACGTGAGTGAAATGTGCTCTTCCTGCCCCTTCCACTGTCTGCTCCCCTCTCTGTTAACATCCCTCTTGCTTTTTCTGCTACTCCCCTTTCTTCCCCGCTCATCCGGGGAGAATTTATGCCTATTACCCAGTCAGTAGAGAATGCTTAGAAAGGCACTGCGGGATTCTGTTTTCAATTTAAGCTTGCTTGGAAGAGGAAGTGGGCATGTTGGATGCTGTTAATGGCACCTCAACAGTATTTCCCCAAGAGAGGCGCTTTCTTCTGTTTGCTAAAGGTACACTCAGTGTCCCAGAAGAGAAACTGTCCTGTCGTTTCGAAAATAGGTTGTGTTCCAAAATCCAGTTACAAATTTGATTCTTTAACTGGGCACATTTATATTAGAAGCACTAAAAGAATTTAATGACTCCAAGTATTAATTACTTAAAGAAGAGCCTATTCATCATAGTAGGATTTATATTTTATAGCTTTTGGAGGAAAAAAAAGCAGCAAGTGTCTTGAACTATGCAGTTTGCCTAACTCTGCTCTCATCTTCAGAGAAAGCAAATTCAGTGTGTTCCCAGTGCACATAGAAAGTCCATTTTCATGATGTCTTTCTAGCCAGTGAATTGGGAAGCCCCTCGTTATTTTTGCATGCAAGTGTGGGACTCCTGGTTACTTCAAGAAGAATTTCAGATTAGATCAACTCTGTGCGGTGCAAATAAGTTCAGATCTTTAGCTGTCTGTGTGGGCAGTTACTTATAGCTCTTCAGTACTTCAGCAGATCAGCACTAGTACATGCATCTTTGCACGTACAATCAACAATTCAGAATTTTTGTTTTGTTTCCTTAAGTCACAATGACAATAAATTGTCAGATTTTGCCACTAAAGTGCAGAAACCTACCATTAAGTCAGTTTAATATCACTCATTTTCTCTTCAATGTTAACGTAGGTTAGAAATGAAGGTTATAATTACCAAAGGCTTTATCAGGTGAGACTCCAGCAAAAGCTGGAGAAGGGATGTGTATAGTTATAAACATATTTATAGTTAAGTGTCGTGTTTTACAATGACTCTAGATTTTCTGATTGTTCACATTGGTCAATCCTGTAAAAATGCCAGCCGTGGGTGTGAGTT